ATTCCCCTCATCATAAGGACCCCAATAAGGTACCCCTACTTGCGGAAATCCCTATGTTGTTTACACAAAGTATGTCGAAAGCCTGAACCCTAGGAACCATAGTCTGCTGCCTGACGGATGACAGATGTCCACAAGACAAAGCTGGGGCTCAAGAGTCTTCAGGCGCGCCCTTTGTCCTCCCAGCGCATCAGCTAGGTTGGCCCTTGCAACACTCTGAAAAACCCCAAAACAAACCCTCTTCAGCCCAATAAAGAGAACCACAAAAGACTTCAACGTCCTAGCTCGTCAGGCATCGGGCTCCGACAGCAAGCGCACCAACTCAGCGTGGCCTCCGTCAGAAGCCAGCACGAGAGCCGTGTTGCCGAAGCGGTTCTTCATGCGCCTGTCAGCGCCGGCCTGTAACAGCAACTCAGCCACCTCTTGGTGTCCCATGTGCGATGCTAACATGAGAGGCGTGTTGCCCTCCGGGTCCATTCTGTTCGTCTCCTATACTCCCCTTAGAACCTTAATAAGAATAATATGTTTAATATCCTCTTGGGTTTCATATAAACAAATCATATAAACAAAATAGAAGTAATTCCCAAGAGGAAATAGTCTCATTGCCGGCCGTTAAGAGCAAGCGTGTCAAGGCTGTCCGTGCCCCAGCTTCCTAGTTCTCATGGTTGGGATAATATTAAAAACTTAAACTTATGTTCCTTATTGGGTTTAAGTACCCTTAAACATGTAAAATGATACCCAACGATGACAAAGCTTCTAAGAGAAAGCGCACGGATTCGGCATGGTTGTTGCTGGCTGCTTTGGTGAGAGCAGTGTCGCCCCAAAGGTCCGTGGAGTCTGGGTTGACCCCAGCTTGCACCATCAAGCCTACAGCTGCTGACTGACCTGGAGGTTTCCGAAAATGGGGGTACCGTTTTTGGGGTTCCCTGTAAGGGGATTCTATTCTATTTGGGGTAGAAAAGGGGTACCCCCTCTTTGGGGAAATGCCCACCTGTCTCGCTTGCATGCAGCAGCTCATATAGGCCAGCTGTGGGCCTTAGAGGGGGCGTCATAACCAGCTGCAAGTCCATTGGGGTAGACAGCTCTGCATCGTGACCAAGCGGTCGGCCATTGTGCCTTGGTAGCCCAGTAGCCACATCACAATAAGAGCACCCTTTTTGGGTTTGGTTACTTTATACACGGGCACCCAGAAACCCACCCAAAAACCCTAAACCCTGAACCCTGAACCCTGAACCCTAAACCCTAAACCCGAAGCCCTAAACCCTAAACCCTAAACCCTAAACCCTAAACCCTAAACCCTAAACCCTAAACCCTAAACCCTAAACCCTAAACCCTAAACCCTAAACCCTAAACGGGTAAAGGGTACCACTGGACTACCAAGGTGCAGAAGGTCTTGGAGGCACTCCGGGATTCCACACTTCGCGCGCAAGAAGGACTTGAGGTGTCTCACCAGGCCTCCGTTCCTGATGAGCTCCTCGCAGGACATGGCCTTTTTTGTTTAGGGTTTAGGGTTTTGGTTTGGGGTTTAGGGTTTAGGGTTTAGGGTTTAGGGCTTAGGGCTTCGGGGTTAGGGCTCCTCCCGGGACATGGCCACCACCTCTTCCCCAGACACCTTCCAAACGCGGAGCATGGCGTTCTCGAAACGGGAGCTTCGTTTTTTGGCTGTAAGAGCGCCTAGGATGGCGCTGAAAAACCCTCTGAAACATCTTCCTGAATATGATCCTCTCTTTAAACCCAACCAGGGAAAATATGAGATGCCCCAAGGGTCTATCCAGGTGCAGGGTTTAGAAGCAGAGTCGAAGTGGCTTGTGGAATCGGACTGTGGATTCAGGATTTGAGTAGGGCTGTGCTATGCTGTACCTTGGACAAACACTTAGATTCGCGGCGCGCTGCTTGAACCATTGACACGGAATAAAGTCCGAGGGACAGTCGCAACGCCCGTGTGAAACTTTAAGCCCTAACCTGCCTCGCGATAAGCACATAAGCTCTAAACCTTATGCACCCCAAGCGGAGTGCCTTGGAAATCTCGACTTAATGTTTATAAGCACATAGGATCTCTGCTTCACAGCAGGTGCTATGGGCACTTACTTGACTTCTAAACATAAACCTCGAAGTCCCTACGAAGCCTCGAAACCCAAAACCCCTGAGCAAGCCTATTGGGTGGTGTAGAGCAAGTGCCCTAAACCCTAAACCCTTCATAAACCCCAAAAATTGAATGGCAACAAGCGTGGGGCAGCTGGCTGACGATTTGTCCCTCCACCCCCCCCACAACCCTAAGCCGGAATTCCTCCCTTGTTAACCCTAAGCCCTAAACCCGGAATTCCGCTCTTGTTTACTATCCTGACTACCAGGGCGGCTGCTCGTTGTTGGCGATGCCCAATGCGCCTCGGCTTTCCGAGACCAAGAAGAAGACCTACTGTAGCCCTAAACCCTAAACCCTAAACCCTAAATCCTAAACTCTAAGCCCTAAACCCTAAACCCTAAACCCTAAACCCTAGATTTTCAGGTCTAGGTCTGAACCCTGTACCCAACTTAAATCTAGGGTCCAGGATAGGAAAAAGGGAAGCGCAGCTTAGTAAACAAGTGGGGATGCGGGTTTTGGATTTACCTGAAGGCTCTAATGTAGTTCTTTTTTGGTGTAGTTATAGGGGATTTTAGTGTACCTTAAAAAGGTACTACATTGGTAGGGTTTTCGGGGGCAGGGTTTCCGGCTTGAGGGAGTAGGACTCCACTTGGACAACACTTTTCGGTTTAGTGGAGCGGGAAGCAAAGGGAACCACATCCCACAAACACCTGGCACGTTCCTGAAGAAATCATGGTCCCTTTTCGGGGACTACTGTTGCTATGCAGAGCCTAAACACTGGACCCCGAACCAGGGTTTACAGGAACTAGTCTGGTACCTAACCGGTTCTGATGTAATTCTGGGCCCTTCATTTGTATAGGTCATATATTCTTACATGGTCCCCTAGTATGGGCCCTTATATACCCCTTAATAAGGGGTATATAAGGGCCCATACTAGGGGACCATGTAACTACCCTTAGGGAAAAGGGTACCACCTGAGCAACCCCCAGTGCATGCTCTCTTGTCGAGGGGCCTCCTCGAACGCGAATCTAAAACCTAAAGGGTTTAGGGTTTAGGGTTATTTGTTATTTAGGGTTTAGGGTTTAGGGTTTAGGGTTTAGGCTTCAGGGTCTTAGCACCCCTGAGATCCGCCGTTAATGGAACCTTACGGGTGCCTTACCAGTAAATGTTTGCTGGAAAGGTACAGTCTAGCCTAATCTGCCGAGGGTCGCTGACGGTGGGCTTAGGCAAAAGATTGGTAAACCGCAAAACCAGAAGTCCCATACGCCCTGGACCTCAAACCGCAAACCTCTAATTAAACCCCAACTCCTAGACTCTAGACAGTAAGCCTCTCATTCCCTGAACCCTACTTGGTAGCGCAGCAACCATTTTAAAATAAGGGCGCCCTTTTTTGGGGATGGTTACTTTATGCGGGAAATTGCGGGAACCTTGAACCAAGAAAAGGGCAAAAGAAACCACTGGGCTAGCAAGCCTAAGCCGCCTAAGCCCCCAAAATTTGGGGTTTAGGGTTTAGGCCCCCTAAACCCTGAACCCCAAAGCCTAAACCCTCAACCCCTAAACCCTAAATGCCCAAACCCTTGAATCCCCATGAGGTACGCGCCGAACCCCCTGGCGCTTCCGTGGCGGCGCCTGTGCCAAGGCGAAGTGCCTAAACCCTAAACCCTAAACCCTAAACCCTAAACCCTAAACCCTAAACCCTAAACCCTAAACCCTAAACCCTAAACCCTAAAAAGCATAGTTACATGGTCCCTTAAAAGGGGACCCCTCATGTACCCCTTATAGACCCTATACAACCCAACGGACCATGTAACTACCCGAAGAAAGATGAGAGATTGTTGGCCTGAGGGCTTCCAAGGGATGAAGGTCTATAGGGTAATTTGGGTTTGGGTTAGGGTTTAGGGTTTAGGGTTTAGGGTTTAGGGTTTAGGGTGCTGCCTAGGGTTTAGGGTCTGATTAGGGCTTGGAAGGGTCAAGGGCCTATAGTGAATTAGGGGTTTAGGGCACAGGGTCTTGGGATGTTAAGGGTCATTCGCGGTTTAGGCTGCGGGCTTACCGGCTAACCCTAAACCCTAAACCCTCAACCCTCAACCCTCAACCCTAAAGGGTTCAGATTCAGGTGTTTCGGGGTTTAGGGCTGAAGGCTTGTGGGGTTGTCGAGTTTGGCGCTTTAGGATCTTCGGCCTTCTGAGATGATCACAGTTGCCCCTATTCTAAGGTTTAGGGTTTAGGGTTGAGGGTTTAGGGTTTAGGGTTCAGGGTACCCCACTTGTAACTACCAACCTCCAAGTAGACCCTACAAAGGCCCGGTTCCCGGGATATCGCATGCAGTGCTAACGAGGTAAGGAAGGCCCGACCCTAGACCCTAAACCGAAAACCCTAAACCGCCAACCCAAAACTAAAAAGAACTCTAAACCGCAAACGGGGTCTTTCTGAGAGTTGCTTTAACACTAAGCCCTAAACCCAACACCAAAGCTCAAGCTACCCATTTTTGAGACAATGTGGTTCGGACTCGAAGCACACGCCGCTGCAATCACAACACTAAAGCCTATAGGGCTTAGGCTTCAAAAAAGTCACGAAACAATGGGGCCTACTTGAAGGTTCGTGGGTAGTTGGAAGTAGCGTTGTAAGTACCCCACACACGGTTCGAAGCAGCTAGAATTATAGTCACCTTACTTGAACCCACCTATAACTACCCATGATTGAACCAGAAGCAGTAGATGGGGTGTTGGGACCGGAGTCGATGCGATGACAGGGACACAAGACTCGTGCACAGAAGCGGTCTTTGGGAATAGATTCGGGTTCCCAGCTATCTCCTAGGCGGGAATACGCCAATCACCCCGGCTTTCTCGCTCGAGGCCCTAAACCCTGAACCCTGAACCCACCCCCCCGGATTGATTTCTTGCACGCAGCAGCCGCGGAATTATTCCGCGTCCTCAGCCGGTGCTGTCAGAAGCGGTGAAGAGTGCTTCGGCGATGGGGCCGGAGCAACTTGGGCACCTGTGCCGGCTCTGAGGGTTTACGGCATTTGGGCTTTAGGAAGTTTATAAAGTTTGGGTTTAGGGATTCAGAGGTGTAGACGGTTTAGGGTCAGGATCCCCCTAAACCCTAAACCCTAAACCCTAAACCCTAAACCCTAAACCCTAAACCCTAAACCCTAAACCCTAAACCCTAAACCCTAAACTCTACAAACCCTAAACCCTAAATGGGTTGGGAGTTGGGGGCTGAAAAGCCCTAAGCCTCAAGCCCTAATCTTTACCATTCAACCAACCTTGCAAAGATAGGACATGTACCTCCAAACCATGTAAGGAAAACACCTTACAGGGTGCAGGGATAGGGTTTCATAGCCCAAGACCTGATCATTGCAACCGGATACTATTTTTTAGACATGTCTAAAACATAGTATCCACTTGCAACAGTCAGATAGGGTTTAGAGTTAGCAGCCTTCGATTCATAACGACCCAGGGGAGGGGGGGGGGTTGAAAAGGAGGGCGCGCAAGGGAAACATATCCCCTGATTTAGGCTTAAGGTTGAGCTAAGTTCAGCTAGCAATTCTCATGTGCCTTAACATTACCCTAAGCACCACTCCCTGGTCGCGATGAGAAACTCAAGAAGATCATAAAGCTTACGTGTTGGAGTTTCGGGTTTCGGTGATGTCTGAAAGTGCCGGCATGCCTTCAACGCCAGGCAGAGGAGGCTCCCGGATCCTTCTCATGTTTTGGGATGTAGCGGGCGACGAGCTTTCGGCTTTGAAGAGATGAGGGTATTGATATAGATATGCTTATATATATACATATGTAAAATTACTACATACATATATATACATGTATATTTATTTATTTATGTACTATCCGCCGACCCCAGCGGGAGGGGGGGGGGCGGCGTCAGTGAAGACCCACTGCTCCTGAGTACCGCCTTCACCCCAGACCTCTGGTGCATGCCTTGCATTGTTTTATGGCTCATGGCCCCATGCCCCCATGGCCTCCTGGCTCGCTGCACCATCCACGGCCCCATGGTCCCATAGCCTCAGGGTCAGCTCAGTTTGAAGGGCTCCAGTGCATGCCCGAGCCTCCCCCTCGCTGCTCTTGCCCCACCCTTCCTGCCCTTCCCGCTCCCCCCGCCCTCCCCGCTGCCCCCGTTCTGGGGTGTTTTAAGGGCTCCAGTCCATGCCCTAACTACCCCTTGCTGCCCTTGCTGCCCCCTCCCCGCTGCCCTCTAGTAATGGAGTGTTTGAAGGGCTCCAGTGCATGCCCGAGCCTCCTCCTCGCTGCCCTTGCTGCCCCCGCCCTTCCCGCTCCCCCCGCCCTCCCCGCTGCCCCCTAGTTCTGGAGTGTTTTCAGGGCTCCAGTCCATGTCCGCTGCCCTCTAGTAAGGGAGTGTACGGCCTCGCCCTCTAGTAATGGAGTGTTTTAAGGGCTCCAGTGCATGCCCGAGCCTCCTCCTCGCTGCCCTTGCTGCCCCCGCCCTTCCCCCTCCCCGCTGCCCCCTAGTTCTAGAGTGTTTTAAGGGCTCCAGCGCCTGCCCTAGTAATGAAGTGTTTTAAGGCCTCCAGTGCATGCCCGAGCCTCCTCCTCGTTGCCCTTGCTGCCCCCGCCCTTCCCGCTCCCCCCGCCCTCCCCGCTGCCCCCAAGTTCTGGAGTGTTTTCAGGGCTCCAGTCCATGCCCGCTGCCCTCTAGTAATGGAGTGTTTTAAGGGCTCCAGTGCATGCCCTTGCTGCCCCCGCCCTCCCCACCCTTCCTGCCCTTCCCGCTTGGAGCTTGGGGCTTGGGGCTTCGAAGCCCGAAGGTCTGCAACCCTCTAACCTTAACCCTTCCAGCCTCCTTGCACCCACTGAACCCACAGGGCAAGAAACCCCAAACAAATCCCAAAAAACTAAAAAAACCTACAGGCTCACCCAGCATAGCAAGCCCCAACTTCAATCTGGGGTCGGCGGCACTGGCGGTAGCCATTATATATATATATATGTATATATATATATACATATGTGTATTATGATGGTATATATCTCTTGAATATTATTGTATACATGAACGTGATCTTCATCTCGGCCTTGCTGACGGCGGCAAGTCTGTGCCGCTTTCAAACTTCTTAACGCCTTCGGTAGCTCATCCACAAATGCCCGTTCCCAAAAGGACCCAACAAGGGTGTTTAGGGTGTAGGGTTTAGGGTTTAGGGTTTAGGGTTTAGGGTTTAGGGTTTAGGGACCCAACATTTTCCCCCTGTAAGACCCATAGGAACCTTGGAGCAACTTCTCAGAAGTACCTTCCCTTGTAAACCCAGAGGAACTTTGAAGCAATTACTGCGAAGGACCTTTAGAAACCCCCCCACCCCCTTTTCATGTTCACGCATCATGGCAGGAGGCCCCCCCCCCCAGGCCCCTAAGCCCTAAGCCCTAAACCCTATCCCTAAAGACTGGAGCTCTCAACCCGAAACCCTAAAACCCCCAAGTCAATGGATTCATTCTCGGACCCCGAAGTATGAACCCCTAAGAGGTTTCCCTTAGTACACTCTTAAATAAGGTTCATATATTCCTGTAGAGGATCTTGAAAGAGGGTCCCCAAACCCAAGCATACAACCTTAGCGGTCCAGGGTAGAATCCCATGGCAAATAAAAGCAAACAAAAAGAAGGAAACCTAATCCCCTTAATATAGGGGCCTTAATAATTGGAATAGGGTTTTGGGGGATATTATAGTAAAAATATAAACGGCCCCTAAGGGAAAACTAGTAGTAGTTATCCCGACCCCTATATTTTACAGAGTTTAAGGCTCGCCGGAAGACCCCAAGTAGCCTTGTCACGTCAGAAGGAACCAAGCAGGGTTTAGGGTTGAAGCGGCATTTGGGGAATGTATTTTAGGGTTCAATTTGTGGTGCAAGGGCGAGGGTGCCAACACAAAAAACCCCTAACACCTAAACTTTAATCTACACCCTAAAACTCCTAAAGCCCTGAACCCCAAAGAAGCCGAATCGAGAGTTGTCGCCTAAACCCTAAACCCTTAACCCTAAACCCTAAATCCTCAGCCCTAAACCCTCAACCCTAAACCCGTTTCAAGTTAGCTTAGCAGGTCTGATCAGCACGCAGCATCCACTGACTACGTCCGCAGCTGTAGCGAGATAAGGTCGCAGCCACCCTAAACCCTAAACCCTAAACCCTAAACCCTAAACCCTAAACCCTAAACCTTAAACACCCAACCACTACATCCTGCACCCCTTAACCCTAAACCCAAAACCCTGAACCCGAAACCTGAAGAGGTCTGAATGAAGCTGAGATGCACCGGACTTCTCGCATCCTCCCCTCGCTCCGACATCTCAGCCATAGCCATCTCAGCCTGAGGGTGTGTGGAAAAGGTAGAGTTCAGGGTTTAGGGCTTAGGGTTTGGGGTTTTTAGGGTTTTAGGGTTTCAGGGTTTAGGGTTTGGGTGTAGGGTTTCACGGTTTAGTTGCGGGGTTTGGGCATGTCGGCTGAAGGCTTTGGGGTGTGCTGATGCGTCGGTGTACTCAGGGCTTGAGATGTGCGCGGGGAACTATGGACACTGAAGCGCAGGTCCAGGGCGAAAAGTGGGTTAAAGCCGTGACCCTGACCTACACCCCTAAACACCTGCCAGCCCTGACAGCCCTGAGCGCAGAACTCTACCTGGAGGTTCATGGCACGTATTCACCCAATCATAGCCCATGAACCTCCAAGTAGGGTACTTGGGGTTCAGAAGTACCGTGAACTTCCGAAGTATAGAGTTTAGGGATTAGGGTTTGGGATTTAGGGTTTCTGCTTGGTTTGGGGTTTCGGCCTTGTGGTTGTTCAGCTTCCACGGACCAGCCGAGTTCACGGTTTTTGATGGATCGCTACTCCTCTTGGGATTAACTAAGCACCTGAACCCAAGGCACCCCCCATATCTCCACAAATTTGTTAGCACTACGCCCTAACCTGAACCCTAAACCCTAAACCCTAAACCCTAAACCCTAAACCCTAAACCCTAAAATCCTCAACCCTTTCACTATGCGGAGCCGGGTCCCCGCGCGGGATCTGGCTCGGCGCGCCCGGCCACAGGAGAAAACTCGCTGCGCGCCTTCTTGGGGAGTGCTGGGCGCCTATGACTGATTCGTCTGCAGGGCCTAGGGATTTTCTTTAAGAAAATTTGGGGTGTAGGGCCTTTCGGGCGCTCCTGTTGTGTGTTTGAGGGTTCTTTGGGGGCTTACGCACATGAGGGACGTCCCCCCCCCAAAGAGTAGGATTCCCTTGTAACGAGGACCCCAAGAAGGTACCCCGAATATCGGAATCCCCCGGCTTAACCTTTTCAATGGTGTTTGAGGTGTGTAGGGTCCTGTGGGACAGAAAGAATTTCCGAAGCGCTGGCGCCACAAGAAGGATGTACTGAACCCAACTTGGAGGTTCATGGTACTTCTTAACCAGTTACAGTTATAGCCATATTTTTCCCACTTATAAGCCCCTTAAGTGCCCTAAGATGAGGACAGATATGAGTACAGTCCTAAGTATTGGTTCGTAAGCACCATGAACCTCCAAGAAAGCCCCAAGCCCAGCACAGCCCCTAAAGGCCAACGCCCTAAACCCGAAACCTATCAAATCCCAGAGTCGTTCCGCAGCAGCATGGGCGAGATGTACTGCCTATCAAGCTGCACAAACCTTGGCTTCCAGTAGAGGATAGGATTAGGGGGACCCTTGGGGATATAGACCCTCTGAATAAGGTCCCTGTTTAAGAGAGCCAGAAGAGGGTCCAGAAGGGTTCCATTTTAAGGGTCCCCCTTATCCTACCTAGGATCCAGGAAGGTTTGAGGGCTTGGGTTTACTGTGGCATGCAGGAGGCATGCCGAATCCGAGTGTCGGCAGTGGGGAGTCGTGGCAGCATGGTGTTCCCGGTGGTCAATCAAACTTGTTGACTCTTGGTTCTGATAATTGGCCAATACCTCAACCTGAACCTTAGGCCCTACCCCAACATATGACACGACTGGCGAAAGGAGTACCACGCTCGACACTTAGGTTAAGTTACAGGACAGGCTGATCATCATGCCGAAGGCACGCCAAGCGCTTCACGGCCTGGCACGAAAGGGCAGGCAGCTATAGCGATTAAACCCCAAATCTGGAGTACACATATACCCTTACAACAGAACATATACCCCACATTTGAGGTACAGTCCTCCCTTTCGGGTGTGTATAATCAGGGCCTACTCTGAGTCCTAGGTACCCTAAGGCTTGAAGTCAGCTGGGACTAGCGGGATTGGGCACAGGGTTGGGGCGTGTTCGGGATAGAGAGGCTTCTTAGGGTTCAGGGCTAAGGGTGTAAGGCTACGTAATCTTCTTTTTATTTTGGGGAGGGGGTGGTAAGATGACGGAACTCATGAGCATTTACGTAGATTAGCTCTTGGGGCTTCGAGTGTAAGGCGAGGTAGGGCGTTCCCGCCACAATACCCCCGACGAGTTGTGAGGCCAACAGGGCTGCAGGCTGGGATTTGTTTCCAGGGTCTTGGCTGAGCATCTCGAAATGGGGGTTTCTGAAATTCGGGGTACCTTCTTGGGGTCCTTATTATAAGGGAAGCTTACTATTTGGGGTCTCTTATAGGGGCCCCTTATTTTCGTATTATTTTCGTAAACTCCCAAATGGACAGGACAAGAAGCCTCCCAGCCTAGGCCTTTGGTCTAACTAGGGTTCGGGTTTAGGGTTTAGGGTTTAGGGTTTAGGGTTTAGGGTTTAGGGTTTAGGGTTTAGGGTTTAGGGTTTAGGGTTTAGGGTTTAGGGTTTAGGGTTTAGGGTTTAGGGTTTAGGGTGTAGGGTGTAGGGTGAAGGGTTTAGGGTTTCGGGTTTGGGGCTTAGGGTTTAGAGCTTAGGGGTTAGGGTTTAGGTTTGAGGGTTCACGACTATTGCCCGAAACCCGCTTAGTGCCTTCGCCACCCTTGGAAGTTCCACTCAGAGGCCTTGTCGAGGGCTTCAACTCCTACGGCCCAAACACGCAATCTAGAAGCCCGAGAACTGAAATTCAGAGGGTTTAGGGTTTATTAGGGTTTAGGGTTTATTATTTATTAGGGTTTAGGGTTTAGGGTTTAGGGTTTAGGGTTTAGGGTTTCGGGTTTAGGGCTTAGGGCAAAGTTTGGGGTTTGGGGGGTTTTGGGGGCCCTCCGGCCGGCTCCAGCGTCAGCGCCAGCTGCTTGAGCTGATCGCCGTGGCCTTGGAAGCGTCCGAGGGGGGTGAGGTTCCTGTTCCCATGTCCACAGGGTCCATGTACCTATATTAATATGGTATATACTTGGGGCCCTGAAGCTACTTTTTGGGAACCCCTTTAAGGTCCAAGTATGTGCTTTATTGGTTCTTGGACCCTTAGGGATTGCCTCTTTACCCCCCTAGGTTCCCCCCAGAATTAAGGCTATTTAGGGATTATTAAGCCTAAGTAAGGCTATTTAAGGGCGGAACCGGGGTGGTAGTATAGAGGGGGGTAGTAGGGAAACCCAGAACTGTTAGGGAACTGTAGTACTATTATGAGTACTGTTATAGCTGTTAATAGTATCTATACTATGAATATTACTATTACTGTTAGTTATCACGAGTATTGCTATTTTTTTATACACTTATTATTATTACTAAACCCCTAAACCTTAAAACTCAAACCCCTAAACCCTTCTCTCCAACTTGCCAAATACCCCCTCATTCGGCAGAGCACCTTTGCTCTCGGGAGAAGCATCGCGTTTACAAGTTTGTTTATACAGTACATTGGGATGTTCCTTAATATGGATTCTAATAGGGGGTACTAGAGTCCTTAATAAGGACTGTTAGTATAACGGGGAACATCTTAGAAAGTAAATGTCATCTGAAACCTGGAGACCTGCCGAGGATTGCCAATGCGCAGTGCAAGGTGATGTACCGAACTCGGATTTGCATTCCAAAATAAAACTTTCCACCGAGTGGCCATGTCCCAACTAAGCCAGCTTTGCTTTAAACTACCCTACTTTGGAGTAGACCCTGGAAAACAGTATCTACTTCTTCGGTACAAGTAGCTATAATAAGAACCCAGAAACAAGAAAGTATTTAAGTATGGTACTCCAAACCCCGGACTAAGTAGGATTCATGTGCAAGGTTGGCTTCTCAAGGATTGAGATTTTCCCAGCAGCTGCTCTCAGTAGCTGGAGCGACGCCTTGTAGCTGAAGGCTGCAAACTGGAGCATCAAAGCAAACACTCCCGCAGATGCCTAGACTCTGATAGCGGTTAGCCTTAAAACCGGGCTCCGTATGACAATAGGACTTATAGGGTTTCGGGTACCCTTTCTTGGGGGGAGGCGGGTGGGGGGGGGGGTTCCTAAAATGAGGTTTATAGTGGTTAGGGCCATCTCCACCCTGGCTTTTGGGAAATGCCGGATCCCAAACACATCTGGTGTTGAAGCATCGCGACAACCAGATGATTGTTGGGTGCTTCGTGTTTTGGCAGCTCTTGGTTTATGGAAGCGGTAAAGCTGGAAGATCCAAAGCTGCCGCCCGGACGAACAAAAATGCCCTGGTGATTCTTGGCTGTTCGAAAGTGACAAACAACAAAAGCAATTGCAATTTTGGACTTTTTGCAGCCAAACCATGGATATACATTTCATTTTTATGAAAAATTCAACATAGGCTGGAACTGCAGGCCCGGAAATTGCCACCCCCCCCCCCCCCCCCCCCCCCCCCCGCCCCCCGACCCCCCCCCCCCCCCCTTCCCCCGCAGATTCTATAGTTTTTTTGTTTTGGGATTCTTTGCATTGTCTGCACCTCGCGGGGACCTCCAGCCTGCTTTTTTCCGACATTTTGTGGATGATTTTTTTGGTTTCCGGCACTCCCGGGAACTCAAGCCTACTTTTTTCGATTTGTTAGAGGTTTTTCGACTTTTATTTGATTTGTTTTAGATTTGTTTTTGATTTTCCGCGTCCCCGGGAATTCCCAGCCTACTGTTTTTGGATGTTTTCGTTTTTCTTTTGATTTTGAATGTCATCTGTCTTTTTAGGAAGTAACTATCATAAGCCTATAGCCATCAGGAGCGAGGAGTTTAAACAGAAACAACAAGCCGAAGACAAGCGCGGAAGTTGCTGAAAACCATGGATCTGGTTTTCGGTGTTATTCCCGAACAGCCTGGAAACACACACCGCAAAGCCAGGTACTTCAACCCGTTGAGCTACATAGTCGGCAGACTAACGAGACACAAGGCTTTCGCACAGAACGCGTACAAACAAGCGGAACCTGCAGCAACAACAAACAAGAACTGATTCGCCCCCCCCCCCCCCCCCCCCCCAAAACCCTAAACCCTAAACCCTAACCCCCCCAAACCCTAAACCCGAAACCCTAAACCCTAACCCCCCCCCCCACCCCCGCCCACCAAGGATCTGGCACCGACGGATGCGGAGGGCCCCAAGAACGGGTGCCGTGGCGCCCCCCAGCAACCAGACCGAGGTGAGAACCTCGGGAGATGAGGGTTTGGGGTTTAGGGTTTAGGGTTTAGGGTTTAGAGTTTAGGGTTTAGGATGGTTTAGGGTTTAGGGTTTTAGGGCGGCTGGGGTTTTAGGAGTTCGGGGTTTCGAGGGAGGTTCATCAGGCTGTTCGGGTTTTGCGGGGTTTGGGGCGGTTTGAAGTGTCGTCGGAGCTTGGGTTTTCGGGCCCATGAAAGCAATCCTATACTTCTGGCGGCCGGGTTCTCATGTCCTTACGGGTACTAGCAACCGCATCCAAGCTATGAAGTCCTGGAAAATATTGGGCAACATTCCATGAGTTCATATGGGCTCCTACCTTTGGAGTAGACCCTGGAAAAAAGTATATACTTTTTAGGTATAAGTAGCTATAATAGGAACCCAGAACCAAAAAATGTATTAAAGTACAATACTCCAAAACCCAGGGTTGTATAAGAGCCGGGGGTCCCCCAAAACCGACGAAAAGCCTCAACCTTGTAAGCCCTGAGACCCTACATCTGACGATTTCCTCCCCAGATTCAACAGACGCCCAGGACCAAAAACAACACTGAGCCTACGTATGTCCTAGTTTCTGGTTAAGATTCATGAAGGTTTAGCAATTCGTTGAGGGTCGAATTTGGGATTGTGATTGCTGTAGAGTCTAAGTAAGGTCTACTTAAGGCTTACTTGGGTTCGTTAGAGGTAGTTCATAGAGCTTGAGGTTTACGGGTTGAATTGAGGTCAATATAGGGTTGAAGCAGAGTCATATTCTTTGGAGTTTTGCCTGCAATGTGATGAGCAGTTAAAGAAGACTCTGAACATCGAAGCCCTAAACTCTAAACCCGCCCTAAACCCTAAACCCTAAACCCTAAACCCCAAACCCCAAACCCTAAACCCTAGACCCTAAACCCCAAGCTCGCAGGAAGGCGACGACCCACATAGCCAGGGCCATGAAGCAATGCCGGTGGGGTCCGGGAAACCTAGCAAGTGGCTGAGGTGAATGAGATTGTAAACCCCAAGACCTGAATTTGGGCTAGGGTTTGGGTCGGGTTTAGGGTTTAGGGTTTAGGGTTTAGGGTTTAGGGTTTAGGGTTTAGGGTTTAGGGTTTAGGGTTTAGGGTTTAGGGTTTAGGGTTTAGGGTTTAGGGTCTAGGGTTTAGGGTTTAGGGTTTAGGGTTTGAAGCTGTTGGGAAGCCTCCAAGCTCCTCAGAACAAAAGCATTGAACTCTCAAATTCCGAGTCTTGACGTTGTGCAATGCCCCAACTTAAATTAAGCTTCGAGGGTTTAGGGTTTAGGTATTGCACTTAGGGGGGAGGCCTTATGAAGGGGTACATGGGGGAAGCCCAAGTAAGGGTTTCCGAAGATAGGGGTACCCTTTTGGGGTCCCTTTTGAGGGGATTCTATTCCATTTGGAGCATAAAAGAGGTACCCCCAAACCCTAAACCCTAAACCCTAAACCCTAAACTCTAAACCCCAAACCAAGTGGCTGGGTAGACAAGGCGAAGGCGATGGCTCCCCTCAGCCCAGCAAACCACACCTGAGATTGGCACTTTAGGGCTTACGGTTGGAGGGAGGTTTAGGGTGCTTAGGCTTTAGGGTGTTCAGGGTTTAGGGTGTAGGCTGTTTAGGGTTTAGGCTCAGGTTTTAGGGATTAGGGTGGAAGGGTGTAGGGGTTCGGGGGTGTATGGGAGGTGTTAGGGGTTTAAATGGGCGACGGGTTCGGGTTCATGGCTAACAATTTTAAGAGGTCTGTTGGGAAGTTCCAGGTTGGGATGTTCCCCCTTATACTAGCAGTCCTTAATAGGGACTCCCGTACCCCCCCCCCCCCCCCCTATTACATTCCCTCTTCAGGATTGCTAGTAGAAGGGGGGAATGTCCCAAGTTAGGGTTTGGTTTAGGGGTTCTTGGGCTTCAGAGGTTCAAAGGCTTGGGCTTCCAAGCTTCTTAGGCTTAGTGTTTAAAGGTGTTGACAGGGAACGGCTGCAGGATTCAAGGGTTTAGGCTTAAGGCGCCGCCGTTTCAAGAAACCTCCTGTGTCAGAATGATCAACGGAATGCCTGCACAGTTGAATGAATGCCTGCGTGGTGCAAGAAAAAATAACCGAAACGCTACATGCCTAAACCGATCGGCGCATTATGCCTCGCGAGAACAAATACCCAGCACATGCAGAAAGAACGATTGCAACGCGCAAGCACGCGACCCTAAACCTTAAACCCTAAACCCTAAACCCTAAACCCTAAAAAACCTAAAACACTCAGCTATGTTCCCAACAACCAGCGCAGTTCTGTCGACCTGCGGTTAAGACTGCCAGATGTTCACAATGCATGCCATTTACCCTACATGTGATATCTACGTTCACTATACCTGTTTTTCTATTCTATGCATATATATATATATATATATATAAATAATAATAAAAATGAATATAAATATAAATATAAATATACATATACATATAAATATAAATACAAATATAAATATAAATATACATAAAAAATATAAACATAAATATAAAAGCATATACACATACACATGTGTATCTGTATATATATATATATGTGGCAGGAACCTTTATGTATGATATGACCTTTTAATTGTTCTCCACACACAACACACCCACACACGCACACTTTGTTCCTTTCTTCTAGACGAGATCGTTGCAAAAGGGGGTTCCCCCCCTAGAGCAGGGTTGAGCCCGCTCATTCCTTCCATTTTGCTTTCTTCATCCTCCGTCTCCTCTTCAAGGGGGTTGAGCCCGCTCATTCCTTCCATTTTGCCTTCTTCATCCTCCGTCTCCTCTTCAACCTCTTCTTTGGCTTTTTCTTACAAAGGAGACAGGAAAAGCAAATGGCAGACTCCAGTAATTCTCCCTCTGTTGCCTTCTTTCTCGTGTTCCGACGTCTTCTGTTCCGTCTTCTATTCGAGTAGATTGAAGGGAATATGTCGGTAAAAGGTGTTCACCCTCCCGCAGCCTCTTCTTTGGCTGTGTTCTTACAAAGGAGAAAGGATAAAATGCAAGAAGATGAGTCAAAATAAGACAGGTCAAAAAGAAGCAAACTGACGATCAGAGAGAGGGAAGAAAAAATTGTTTTGTGAGTTGCAGAAAGGGGCTCCCTCTTTTCCTGGAGCAGGGTTGATTTCCTGTGTTCGCTCTCATTTGCTTTCTTTCTCTCCTGCGTGCCTATGTCTTCTGTTCATGGTTTGAGGAGATTCAAAGGGACAGATAAGAAAGGCGAAAAAGGTTTCCCTGTCCCTTTCGCTGTCCTTGATCTTAAGAATCTTGTCTTTTCTCAGTCAGCAAGAGAGGACACAGTAGAAGGGAAACATCAAGGAACGCTTGAAAAAAACAACGGATACATAAGAGGAAGAAGAAGAAACTCCCTCTCCTCTCTTCTCGATCTTGTTCAGCTCTCTTCTTGCAGATCATCTCCTACCTTCATCCTTCGCATTCTCTCTCTCTCTCTCTCTCTCTCTCTCCCTCTCTTCTTTGTTCCTTTCTTCCAGACGAGAAGCAAATGGATAAGACGAGATGGAAAGAGACATTCTTTGCTTCGCTGCAGATTGTGGGAAGAAAACAATGAGTTTAGAATCCAACAGTAGACTGCTTGGGGAACAAGGCTTCCCTTTGCTCTTTTTGTGAAAGTCGGGCGTGCGAAGAAATTCCCCCTCCCCTCTTATCCCTGTTCTATAGTCTATCTCGTTACAGAAAGACAAATACATATACAAGGCGGCAATTTCAGTCACTACTCATCCTGCCTCGTCTTTCTTTTCCCACTTCTGTTGCGCTTTTCTTACAGCAGGAAAACGGAACATGCAAGAATGCACATGAATCTCGCCACCATCATCCTCGCTCGTCTCTCTTATCTCCCTTCTCTCTTCTTTGTTGCCCACCCTCGGTGTGGGGTTGTTTGATTTTGAACTCAACTCTTCTCCTTGCCCGGGACTCTTCTCCTCGCCCGGAACTCTTCTCCTCGCCCGGTCTACTCCTCGCTCATCCCTGGAGCGCCCAACCCCAAAGTGTCCCTGGAGTGCCCAACTCTAGAGTGGCCCTGGAGTGCCCAACCCCAGACAACCCCAGCCCAGCCCCAGAGTCTCCCTAGGGCGCCCAACCCCACCGTTTCCAGGAGTGCCCAGCCCAGAGTCTCCAACCCCAGAGTTTCTGGAGGCCCAACCCCAGAGGCCCAACCCCAGTGCCCAAACCCAGAGTCTCCCTGAGGCCCAACCCCAGTGTCTCCCTCGAGAGCCCAGCCCCAGAGTGTTGCTGGAGTGCCCAACCCCAGAGTATCTCTACCAAGAGAGGGTGGGGATGTTCGAAGCCAAATATTTTCTTACACACGTGACAATGAATACACAAGAGGACAAGGAAAGGAGAAGTTAATGGACGGGAAAAGAGGGGAGGATGGATTGTTTTTGTTCGTGGCAAGAAGGGAGGCCGCTGAGTGCCCTTACACCCTCTCTTTGCTTTCTTTCTCTCCTGCGTTGCCAGGTTTTCTGTTCTTTTGTGCTTAGGAAATTCAAGGGAACTGCAAAAAAAAAGAGGAAGACGCTTTCCGTGTCCCTTTTCGTTGCCCTTGCTCTTTTCTTTTTTCATTCAGCGAGAGAGGAAGAGACTGCAGGGGGAAAACAATAAAGAATGGACAAAAGTAGGAAGAAGTTTTCCTTGTACCTTGTCGTTGCCCTTGCTCTCTTCTTTTCTCGTTCAGCGAGAGAGGAAGAGATTGTAGGATGAAAACAGCAAAGAATGAACCAGAGTGCTTCTCTCTATTATCTTATTGAGAAGAATGAGCGCATAAGACTGGGAGGAAACGCACTCCTCGCTTTTCCGTCTGCTTTGGCTCTTTTCTTGCATACGAAACAAATGAATACACAAAAAGACATGAAGAGACAACTGGGAGAAAACGACAAGGAGCTGACCCGAGTGCTTGTCTTCTCTTACGGGCAAAATAAGACAGGTCAAAAAGAAGCAAATGGACTATCAGAGAGAGGGAAGAAAACATTGTTTTGTGAGTTGCAGAAAGGGGCTCCCTCTCCCCCTCTGGAGCAGGGTTAATTTCCAGTGTTCGCTCTAATTTGCCTTCTCTCATGCGTGCCTATGTCTTCTGTTCATGGTTTGAAGAGATTCAAAGGGACAGATAAGAAAGGCGAAAAAGGTTTCCCTGTCCCTTCCGCTGTCCTTGATCTTAAGAATCTTGTCTTTTCTCAGTCAGCAAGAGAGGAAGACGCAGTAGAAGGGAAACAGCAAGGAATGCTTGGAAAAAAACAACGGATACATAAGCGGAAGAAGAAGAAACTCCCTCTCCTCTCTTCTCGATCTTGATCAGCTCTCTTCTTGCAGATCATCCCCTACCTTCATCCTTCGCTTTCTCTCTCTCTTCTCTCTCTCTCTCTCTCTCTCTCTCTCTCTCTCTCTCTCTCTCTCTCTCTCTCTCTCTCTCTCTCTCTCTCTCTCTCTCTCTCTCTCTCTCTCTCTTCTTTGCCCGACTTTCACAAAAAGAGCAAAGGGAAGCCTTGTTCCCCAAGCAGTCTACTGTTGGATTCTAAACTCATTGTTTTCTTCCCACAATCTGCAGCGAAGCAAAGAATGTCTCTTTCCATCTTGTCTTATCCATTTGCTTCTCGTCTGGAAGAAAGGAATACGACAGGGCGAAGAAATTCCCTCTGCCCTCTTATCCCTGTTCTGTAGTCTATCTCGTTACAGAAAGACAAATACATATGCAAGGCGCCAATTTCACTCACTACTCATCCTGCATCGTCTTTGTTTTCCCACTTCTTTAGCGCTTTTCTTACAGCAGGAAAACTGAACATGCAAGAATACACATGAATCTCGCCACCATCATCCTCTCTCGTCTCTCTTTTCTCTCCTCTCTCTTCTTTGCTTTCTTTTACACGTGACAAATGAATACACAAGAGGACAAGGAAAGGAGAAGTTAATGGACGGGAAAAGAGGGGAGGATGGATTGTTTTTGTTCGTGGCAAGAAGGGAGGCCGCTGAGTGCCCTTACACCCTCTCTTTGCTTTCTTTCTCTCCTGCATTCCCAGGTCTTCTGTTCTTTTTTGCTTAGGAAACTCAAGGGAACTGCTAAAGAAACGAAGAAGAAGTTCTCCTTGTCCCTTTTCGGTGGCCTTGCTCTTTTCTTTTCTCACTCAGCGAGAGAGGAAGAGACTGCACAACAAAGAATGGACAAGAGCGCTTCTCTCTTATCTTATTCAGAAAATGGATAGGTCAGAGGAGGAAGAAACCCCCCTGTCCTCAGTCTCCATGTCTTCTCTTCTTTTCTCTTCTCTTCGTTACGTGTTCCTCTCATCAAAGCGTGCAAAGGAAACTCCATTCGCACCCTTTCCTTTCTGTCTTCTTCAAAGGAAAAGCGGAAGGCAAGGCACAAACCGAAGACAAAAGAACAAACGATCAGAAGAAGGAAACATTATATAGACTGAAAAGGCTATCCTTCTTGTTTCTCATTGCTTTTCCATCGCTCTCTTCTCTCTTCAATTCTATCCAGATATTTTCTTTTTCCTTTTGACGAGGAAAATGGGAAG